CCACAGATCGATAGCTATTTCCGTTAAAAAGTTATTCAAAAAACAATTACCCTTCTTCTATTTTGAAATGGATAATAGTAGTTTGTACTTTTTTTAGTCACCAATTTAAGTACTTACAAAGTTTACTTTCCAAGAGTTCACAACGTTTGACATATGATGTTTCTTTCAAGAATTTTAGTTGAAAACCTACATCAATCACGTTCTGAAACAAGGATCATGAATAACAACAAAATCAAGACATCAAGTTAAAAATAAATAAAAAATTTACACCATTTTCTTTTTGTGCATAAGATCACAGATCTCTCTTTTTTTTCTTTCATCGTTATCAACATGGTAGGCTCTTGATATTTCATCGTTTATTTTATATTCTGTCTCATGTGGAACAGAGATGGACGAGTCAGAAAAAAAGTCGCACCGTCACCGCCCCGTCCCGCACCGCCGATAAAGTTCCGCACCGCCACCGCCCCGCCTGTTTAGCATTGAAACCGCCACCGCCCCGCCCCGCCCCGTCAAAAATATGTTTTAAAAAACTATTTATTGGCAAATTTTTCATTAAATTTTCATAATGGCTATTTCATTTCATGAGATGAAGAGGCATATTTTAAATGCATAAACATCGTTCCGAAATAGAAACAAATAAATATATGAAAATGAAAGGGAATTATAATACAGTCACTCATTTTGTGGAACTCACGTATATTTTCGAATAAAATAGTGATTGTAAGTTTTAAGTTCGAGGTTTGGCGGCTCTCTCCCTTTCCACACTCCAGTACAGACACTTCACTCAGGGTTGCCAGATCTTCCGATACGGCAGGAAAAATTGCGATTTTTTGAAAGTTTCTCCAACGACTTTCCGACGTTCCGATTTTTCCGATTTTAACATATTTTTCCGATCGCCTTCAGATTTCCTAATTTTCCTCTGGTTTTCGAAGTCTTATTTGGGAATTTAAGTTCTTAGGACATTCTAGAACAGTTTAACCATGACACGACACCACACATATATAGCGATCTATTTCACCATAGTTATTGGGTAGTGAAGCGCATGAACTCAACAAACCACACTGCAGTGATTTGAAAGCATATCCTCCAATAAAACTATGATGTTTTACAGACAATTAAGATCCAGCTTTCTATCACGATGAACTAACTTTCTCTGTTCGTTTACTATAGTGTTAATTAAGAATATTTTCGTTTCTGAGCTTTTTTTGTTTCATCACAGATATAATAAAACTAATCATAATCATATGGGTACTAATTTAGCTGTTGCAGAAGTGAAAATTGGAATGAATTCTGTTTATACTTGTGGACATTTTTATGAATATCTGTTACCTCAACCTGATATTTTGAAGAGTATTCGAGCTAATAAAAAAGGATGAACAAAAACGAACATTATACAGAACAAGTCTTAGTTTTCTTTTGCATGAGTTTTGTGAAATGCATGTGTGTGTATGAATTTACAATACTGATTCTATTGTTTCGTCAAGTTGGTTATAGCATTTTTGATAAAAATAATGTGATCCTGTTCAAATTACTTATGTAGATTTCTCAATCATGAGTAAATTGTGTAATCGATATTTCCTTTAATTCTTTATGAAATATCATTTCCGATATTGCTTCGAAAAGATGAACAGAAGCAAGATAAAGGATATTGAAGCTATCGAAAATATATAAACTAGTTATTTAAGCATGGAAAAATACTTTCTGATTTTCTTCCGATTTCGAGAACAAAAATTCCGACTTTTTCCCGATTTTTAGAAAAATGTTTCTGATTTTTTAATTATCGATCTGGTAACCGTGACCCCCACCATTACAAACCTCAGCAGCGCATAAAAGACTCTAGTTTTTTGTATAATATATCAATGATTTCATACGTATTCGGAAAAAAGGTATTTTACAATTTAAAAATAAGGCATCAGGACAAAAAATTAAAAAAATATATGTGAGTTCCACATTTTAGCTCCTCTGGAGCTGCGCTAACAAGTCTTTTTTTACTGATTAATTTTGTGAAAAGATTTTAAAATTTTAAAAAGATGTTTCTAAAGGTCTGAGTATATTTAAAAAATCAAGGTTATACAAAGGCGGGGAAACCGCGAAATTTCGTCATGCACCGTCACCGCCCCGCCCCGTCAAGTTTTAGCACCGCCCCGCGGCGGGGCGGGGCGGGGCGGGACGGGGCGGTTTTACACCGCGGCTCGTCCATCTCTGATGTGGAAAACGTTCGCAAATCCAAACACTTCCTCGACAACGATACGATAAACGCAATACTCAGAAATCAGTACAAATTGTTATTCTTTGGAAATTATATAAACGACATCAGTGTGTTTTGATGAGATTTCTAATTTATCTTTGATCAGAATGAAATGGATGAGGTAATAATATCAAACTCAAAATCAAACTTGAGATGTACACTATACAGTGATTGAGATTCATGAATATTATCAATGTCTTTTTTTGGTATTCTCACACACGTAAAAGATGCATCAGTTGAATAAAAGTATCGGATTCGATATATATAGTTTGAGTTAAAAAATTACTAACTTTCGATTTTCTAATGCAAGTCAATCTAAATAAAACCTATCGAATGAGTTTTCATGTTATTATTTTGTGTATATTTCCAGTTAATATATTCATATGATCAAGCAAATAATTATGGCAGATATTTCAATTTTATTTATTCGACGTTTTTGGATTTATTTAATATCGAATATAGCATCAATTATTTGTTCTATATTTGTACTTTACTATTTTCTTTTTAATCGAAAACTTCGTTGTAGTTTACATAAGCATGTAGTTATTATTATTTTAATTATCAGTTTTATAATTGAGATAACAGATATATCATGGATTATTTATTATTATCGAAATGGTGTTGTTTGGATATCTAAACCATTATTTTGTAAAATTTGAAAATTTCTTGATATTTGATCATATGTAACAATAGCAAGAATTGTTGCATGGGCATCAATACAACGATATATTCTTATTTTTCATCATGGTTGGATGTCTACACAAAAGAAAAAAATTCTTTTACATTATATACCTATTACTACAATTATTATCTATGGAATCATTCTCTACATGACTATTGATCTATTTCTTTCATGTGATCGCTCATATTATTCTACAATATTATATTGTGGTTTCTCTAGTTGTGCTTATAATAGTACAGCATATTCAATATTTGAGTTAATCACTGGTGGAATAACAAATATAAAAATCATTGCTATATGTAGTATGATTCTTATAATTCGTCTTATAAAACAAAAGCATCGATTAAATCAACAACTTAATTGGCGTAAACATCGTAAAATGGCTATTCAACTTCTATCAATCATATTATTATTTTATATATTCTATTTACCAAGTATTATAGTAGGAATCATTCTTAGTTGTGGTATACCATATAGTTACCTAGAAAATTTGTTGCCTTATGGAGAATTTTTCTCTTATTATATAAATTTTCTACTTCCGTTTGTTTGTGTAGGAACATTACCTCGTCTTAAAAAGAAAATCAAGAATATATTAAGAATTTGGCCATGGCAATACACATGTTCATGTTGAACCAATTCATCAAAATATCAATCATAACAGAAATTGTTAACTAATGAAGATTTCATCTTCAATAAATGAAGAAATGAGAGAAAAAGATTCGTATTGATGGTGTCTCGATATTTTTCTTTTATAAAATAAATAAAACTATAGTATCGATATAGACAAAAAGAACCATATGAACGAATCCTGATAAACTGAGCTTATTTTATCTGTTGATAATGAAAATTACAGTCATTTGTTGTCTGTTTGAAAGCAAACAAAAGACAACAAACTGATGTGCAGTAAAATTCATACTCAATTATGTAAAAAAATTAATTTCAATAAAAGAAGATATAATCAAATATCAGTGTCTCTATCGGAAACTCTTTCATATATTCATGTGATTTACCTTGAATTCTAAAGAAAATGTAGAATAACCATAAAATATTTGAACTTAAGGATTGATTGTATAATAAATAGGCTATTTAAAAAAATCTTCTATGCTTGTTTGTTTTACAATATAAGTATTTGAAGAAAAACAAGCATCAATGAAATGTTATTATCTAAATAATACTTTTTACCATACAACAAGTTTATATTGATTTAAAAGAAAAGTTCATTTTTCAGAATTCTTTTTATTTTTAATTCCTTGATAAAATCCAGTATGATATCCAGCTAAATACCATGACATCAATGTAGAAGATAGAGTATCATTATCATCATTGGAATTTAATCAATATCGATGTGTTTATATATTTGTTTCAAAGACAGATAACCAAAATAATGCTGCAAATAAATATGAACCATAATTAAATCAAGAGTATAGGTAAAATCAAAATAAAGTAAATTGAAAATACAGCTGAAAGTCTGATGATGACAGGATACTACAAATCTGTTGAAAATTTACTTGAATATTGAAATTTAAAAAAATTTTAGTTACATTTTCGACTTATTTTTATTTTGAATATATTCTTTATTTCAATGAAATTCTTCTTGGTTTTTTTTCTTTCGTGCCAGAAAGAGGGGAAAAGAAGTCGTTTTTGAAACAATCAAAGAAAAGTAAACAACGCATGAGACAAGATATTTAAAATTACGTAATGAACTTGATTCCCTATACAAACAATTTAGTAAAAATGATGAAAAAAGTAATGTTGAAGCAACTGGTGATCCATTATTTGTAGGTGAAATGATTGTTAAAATTATTGATAAGAGTATTGGAAGTAAAATAAAAGCTTATATAGATATGAATAAACAACGCTTAAAAATATTCATTTCTTCTTTTTTTTGTCTGTCAAACTTATTATTTTGTTGATTAGTTTTTAGAATAAAAAATATTTAAGTAAATCTCTTTTTATTATTCAATTAGGACCCTTTTATTAGACTGTCTACTACAATTATATTTAATGCGTACCTGAGTCATCTTATATGATATATTAAAAAAATATTTTTTATTTATTGATCGTCTTGTGCTAATAAATAAGGGGTTTACAGATTGAAATGACGGTTATGATAGTCATGTTTACTTCTGATAGAAGGAACAAAAACAAATTTTTCTCCACAGAGAGAAGATTCTCCTCAAAAAATAGCATAATCATGAGTCATCAAATACATAACAGCGAAAAATCAATTGCTTGGTTTTTTCCTAGTAGTTGTGTAATATACGATATATATATATATATAGGGCTGTTTACATTTATAAAGAAGAAAAGTTTGATATCGAAACACTCGCAACGATTAAAAAACTATTCATTATTGTTGTAAGTATTTGTATATGAATCTTTTTTGATAAATGATGCGTATCTTCCTTTCCTTTTCAATCAATTTAAAAGGTAGTTTTATCCATTATTTTCAAATCATATCTCCTTAGAAAGACATTGCTGAACAATGTTTTACCCATTATTGTATAGAATGCTTTATATTTGAAAATAACAGCTCAACAGTTTTTGTAAACCCAAATGAAAGTGTACGAATCTGTTCCTGCCGGAAAGTCACTAGAATCGGTCGGCGAAATCATTGACCGAGCAACGCAAGAAGAAAATCAAAATTGAATAAAAAAAAACCGCTAGAAGATTAGCTCTTTAAGCTATGAGCTTAGTTCGCTAATGGAATTTCTCTACCGTGCACGTAGGACAGAGAAACAAAATATTTTTAATTTTTATGTTTAGAAACACAAAAGATGGGCAACCAACCA